ATATCCAATTCACATGTATCTCTATTATATGGAATATTCAACACCTGATCCCTTTCTCAAGGATTGAAACTATATGATAAATATTTAACTGGGTTTAATTTTAGCAGATTTTATGTTGCAGCATAGACCCTCAAGTCCACTATAAGGTCTATGGTTGCAGAGGTAATACCAAGATTTTAAATTCACTGATTTGTGACGGAAAAAATACATTTTATGGTTTGAAATTGAAAAAATACATTTTATAGTTAACTTGTTCACTATTCATTGAGTTTTTATTTGACTAACAATGATATATCAAATGCAAATAAACCCAGACATATAATATATACCATTAAGTCATTTATTTTCAGTAATTTTCCAGAAAAGGGGAAGAAGCAATCAAAGAAAAGAAATTTATATTTTCTGAATGCACCTGATTTAAAAAGAAAAGAAATTGATAAAAATAACTGAGAAAAGATATCTGGAAGAAAATATATTATTAAAACAGTATCATTATAGTTGTACATCAACAGTCTTCTTTATGCTATTTGTTAACTGAGAATGAAAATACAAAACCTGATGTGCTTGTGTTTTGATACATGTGAAGCCTACATTATTTATTGTTTTCCGGGAATTGCTGCTTTTACTTTCACCATGCCTACATCTCCCACTGCTAGATTTGATAAAATGATGTGCAAGTATGTCTAATTATTATGTGACAATTCATTGTGTAAATCACTGCTGTATTTGTTTCTACCTGTCACTGAGCAGAAAAGAATAACTCACATTATTATACATCTGACATAAAAAAAAATAGAATTTATGTAAAGTGCTATGTGCTAACTTTTTAATCTAAGAAACAATCAAACGAACAAATGCAACTATAACTTAATAACGCGTTGCCTTTTATTATTTCATCAAATAATGTATTGAGATGTACACATGGAGTAGTATTAGTTGGGTCATAGTTCATTTTCTTTTTTTCTTGGTTGAATAATATCCACAAATGCGACCAAACATATGGAAGTTATTACTGTGTTTATTCTCCATAATTCTGTAATTATGAACCAAACAAGAATAGTGATAGCTAAAATTTATGCTCCATTAAAATATCAGCTTCCTACTGAATATTCAACGACTTCAATCGCTTAGTTGCGTCAGCATATAAAGTTTTTAAACATATTGTCCACAAAAACTACAATACTTCCACACACAGGAAAACTGTCGGCGCCAACACCGTCGTTTGACATTTATTGGAAAAATTTCACATATTCTGGGAAAATTCAAAATAATAAGAAATACTACTATAAAGTTGCTCATTATATATTCATAAATGTTGAAGATAAGTAAGAGATATTAAAAACTCATCCAAAAATTGGTTGATTTCAACCGAAACAATGATCGAAAGGTCAAAACACGCAAATTTCATTTCCGGTTGCTTTGAACCCATCTATGTTCGGGGAAAACTGTATTTAGCAAACTTAAGTTGGACAAAATGGACATAAATTCCTTGATCAAAATTGATGAGAACAAATTATGCAATTATATTTTGTGGTTGACTTTGATGAATTCGTTAAATATGAACAAGACAACTTTGTGAAAGTTCACCTCAAAATAACTTCCAAAATGACTTTCATATGATGAGTGAACTATTATTTCAGTTTTTGTTTTACAACCATAAAATTGCTCTCTGTAGTAGATTTTCAGATTGAATAAAATTATTATTACATATGCAAATGAGATTCACAAGGTCAATGAACTTATAGTCAAACCATGTGACCTTATGACGTGGACTGTAAAGATATAAAAAAGGTCGATCTTTACACAAAGTCTGTCAAAGTGAAAATAACATTTTTGTTCAGCATATGACATCTGGCAAATGTAAACTGTTTTATTTTTGCTGTTTATATCAATATTGCAATTTAAATTAATTAAAAGACATTCAGGAAAACCATATTTTACAACAGTCATTATGACTCATTGTTGTAAAGAATAATAATAAAATATTCAGTAGCACAAACTATTGTAGACTCATAAAACTTGCCATCATTATTGTAGTCCCCTGAAATTAATTTATAGTACATCCCAGATTGCCTGATATACTGGGAGTGCTATCATCACATTGACACTAATACATCTTTTCTCTACCAAAATATTTGAAAACATGTTGCAAGTTTGTAAAATATCTTTCTAAAAAGTGTGGGGTTGATTTGGAGAAAGGAAATAAAAGTTGACCTAACAGTTTGAAACAGGAAGGAACCTTTTGGATTGCTTCATTGTAATATTATTCAGCTTTCAAAGAAATTTTAATCCTGTAAATGTTCATGCTGATACATGCTCTGATAAAATAATTTGATAACCAATTACTGTATTTGTTCTATTAGTAGCGCATGTGATAACGGAAATACCAGAGGTAAGTCTGTGGTCAAAATAAGTAATATGATTCAGTATACCATAAATTCAATAATTGGTTAAAGTGCTTTTTCACTGATATTATAGATGCACTTCAACTTCCAAGTGGTACCGGTACTCAAACTAGCAACTGGAAAAATGATGCCCCTAAATATAAAGATACCAACTGATTGACTTCACAGACAAAAATATTTTAATTTTAAAATCAATCCTGAGGGCTAAATTAAAGCCAATTTAATAGGGTTAACAGCCCCTACAACCATTTAGTAATCATATGCATGTGGTCAGTTTATATTCAATCAGACATCATATATATATATATATATACACAGTAATACACACATGGCAATTTGTCCAAAGTACATGATATCCAGGTGATTAATACTGTTCATGTTTCAATCAACAGATCCAATTTATGGTTTATACATGTATTTAGCAGACAATGATTAAATCAACTATCATGCCTATGCTTTATATAGAAGATAATATTTGGTAATCGTAGTCCTAAGTAACTATTAAAAATAGCTAAACGTTTCGAGTAATGGCTCTTTATCGATAGCATAGAATTCAATGTTTTGATGCCTATGCTTTAAATGTCTCCGAGACCTTGGAAAGCACATATTCCATGCTAGGGTTGACGTGCCATGTGAAGCATTGCACATATCATTGCTACATCATAGGGGTTCAAATATTAGCTCAGTTATCACAATTTCACATAATGCATTCCTGGTTCACAATTATTGAAGATTGCATGGTCGGTATTAAAAAATAGTATTCACAATTTGGAATCGATTTAATTTTCGAGGTATTCTTTTTGGAATGCTTCTGTTACAATGATTTTTGTTTTATTGCTCTGACATGTAAACAGTATGTTTTTAAGCAAGGCGACAATCCACACTGTGGAAAAAACTGTATATCACGACCACAGGCACAGTTTATCTGGTGAACAAACCTACTATTTGAGCTTGAGTTCACGTTGAGGGATCTCGGCTCGTGCCAAAATCACGTCCTTATTCTTTGATCTATTATTTGACCCAAACATAGAAATAGATGCGCATATGATGATAATAATAATTGCTATATTGAAATTATATTCATTTGTTGTTATGGTATTTATTACGAGTCATCGTGCACAAGAACGGAAAAGATTCGAAAAACAATTATTTGTTCACGTTAATGTAGCATTGCAAAAAAATACTAAGTGCAGCAGCACATAAATAGGCATCGCTGATGACAGTTTGCATTCATTTCATTCATTACTACAGCATCCGACCATATAGATCTGCATTTTCCTTCATAGTCATTTCATACTACCGGTTGAATAAATCAGCATATGTTCTCTTAATTGTACCACCGAGGGCATGATTTTGGTTCGTGCAGGTGCAGAGTTTCGGTCCAAAGCATCATGCGGGATCGAGATCAATCTTGTCGACTCAGTCCCGACCGTTCACACACAAGTTTCGGCACGTGCCAACTTGTTCCAGAGTCTCAGTACATGCTGTGATCTCTAATGTGAACGCCACTACTCTCATTGGCTATTCTGTACAAAAGGACAAAAACTGTCTACAGTTTCATTTGGTTTCAGTGTGTCATACATAAGGTGGCATACATTGTCATTTTGACACACTATATGTTTCTGGAGATTAAGCGCAGTGTCTCAGTACAGTGGTAACTCAACTAGATGCTCAAAAAGTTTTTAATTAAAAATATGTTGGAACCAAATGCTGTTTTTTTATTCCTGTTTATTCTGAAAAGTGGAACTCAAAGAAAATAATCTCATCCTAGAAGAACTGATGACATAGATACCATGTTTCAATGATGTAGAACCGCCAAGTATAAAATCTGTGTTTTCTGTTCAACAGGATTACCTCAAATTGGGCATGTGATAATACACATAAAGTATGTACTCCATATCAGGATTACCTCAAATTGGGCATGTGATAATACACATAAAGTATGTACTCCATATGTGAAAGAACACGAAATCCAGATTCCGCATGTAAGAGTTGATTGAATTACTGTCTTCCCGTTGCATATTGTTTGTCATTTGTTTGTATCATCCTAATATCCATTGCTATTTCACTTGTGCACTCTTCCCTGTCAGAGCTACGACAGTCTTCCTGAACTTCATCAAACATCTATACCATAAAGTTGTACATTCAAATAGTCCAAACTACCGGTATGCCATAAATACAACAAATGTTCCAGTACTTCCTGTTTATTCTTATCTCACATTCTGAGTTTCACTGTGGCATACAATCAAAGGCTATATTCACTGGCAATCAAATCACATGCAATACAAGTTCATGTTTTAATATTTTTATTCCATTCTTATTTTTACAACCAACCCAAACCTATTTGACCAACCTTCCACAACTAAACATGCATACAACACATTAAAGCAAACTGAAACAATTTACATAGTTATAATGTTCCCGAAGACACATGGAGGCCATGCAGCTTTTACAAGTCAGGAAATTGATATATAAAATGGAAACCAATCAGAAAGTATGATTTCATATGTGTGTAAATATGCTATTTTAGATATAGACAGTTGATCATATGTTAAAAACAAGTACTGGAAATTACACAACCCATAGTCAGTAGTAAGTCAATCATTATGGCTATAAACATCTGGTACATGTGCATATTTATGACATCATTATGATGACATCATTAAATGATATGTATAATCATTAGTCATCTTTCCAACATTCTGTATATTTGAAAATCTAATATATTAATTACAAAATGTTTACTGTCAACTTAATATTATATGCATAATTTTTTTTTAATTAAAATAAATCCCATTTTAAGTTGGAAAGTAAACAAGAAAACACTGTAACATCAAACACCATTACTTACACTTCAGGGATTTATGGCAAAAAAAATAATTTAAGGGATATACCATTAAATAACTGGGAGGGGGCTATATAATTATAGCAGGCAGTGAAACACTGTCCAAATGCTGGTATACCTTTATCATTCTAGAAAATTTTATTTCCTGCTCACTCAAAACACTTTGCTCACAAAATGCCTCCATCCTTTTCTTCCAGATTTTAAAAGGTTACTCCCCTACATGTACAATGGTTACAATGAAGACACTCCCCCATCCGAGTGCACAGAAATGTTGTGTATTATTAGACAGCATGTATAACCATGGTTTGCTTCTTTATCACCTGGGATCAGTGTACACACAAAGGCTTGACTCAACATACCTACATAATTAGTCAGCAGTAAACTTAGTGATAATACACACAAACCATAGCCAAAATAATCTGATTAATAATCAAATTATATGTGTATTTTATTCATTATTTAGAACACGTGTCAAATTCAATATTATTCAGAATTCATTTTCTGGGGCACAACCTTTGACCTATTTTTCACATCTAAGAATTTCATAATTTTCATTCACATGTTATAGTACAAGGTGGTTTACACTATTGTACACTACTAGAACTAGTAGGTATTACTCAGTGCAAACATGAAAAGATGGACATTCAATAAGTGAAAAGTGTTTTATAATTAGCATAATAGTATTGTAGCATTACATTTTGTTTGATGGATTTGGTGAAATATTAGCAAATATACAGATGACATCACACCTGTGAAAGCACACCAAGCTTACTCTGAAATTCCAGAACTAGTTTTCTGGCAAACTGAGACAAGCATTATGTGACAAGCCTTCATGAGTAGCTATCCCAGGAAACTTAGATGTACCTTGCAGTGATAAGTAAAAACACAACTGTCATAATAATCAAATATCCCCAATACAGAAAAAAACATGAATAAACGCCATAAATTGGCACACTGCTTTACAGGAATCAGTTATGAAATTGACTTTCAAATTATGACAATATTGGAAATTGAAATAACTATTTTAAACTAAAAGATACAAAAATTGCATTGTTTTTTTTTTAAATAATTGCATTGAAAAATAGCAAATCTCAAATAACAACTGTTATGCAAAAATGCCTGAGGAAATTATTCAATATTCAGTTTCCATAATATGTTACTGAATAAAACTATAGCAACCTTTCCACATTACATCATAGTTGGGTCTGGTTGTGACCACTTATTACAGAGGAAATATTCATTTGAAATTTGAAAGGTAACACAAAGAAAAGGTTTTCCTTGGTTATAAAGAAAGTTGAATTCTCAAACTGTTTCACATACAGGTTACTGTAAACCCTTTAATTTTGCAAAGACAAATTTTCATGAAGTTTCAGCAAGTCAGTGAAATTTTCTTCAACAGTAACAAGGGGAAATCACCAAATTTTGTCATCATAAATTCTATAAAATTCGCAAATCGTGAAAATTTCTAGCAGCAAAAAATAATTGGTTTACAGTATTTGACATACAAATCTTGGAAGAAAACACAATTAGACAGTATGTTTATAGACCAATTAATGCCACCACACAGAGTTTTTGAAATTTCTAGTGATTGGTTGTATAGCTGACATCCAGGACTAATATTCAGTTCAAATGCTACCGGTAATAAACCAATGTCAACAATAATATGATGAAATACAACTCAACAAATTGAACATTTTAGATTACATTAAATAGGTAATAAAAGATATAAGCCAAGTATGGATATATTATGAGTACAGATTTATTCTGATATTGAAAGATAAAAAAGGCAGTTTTCATAAAGCTTTAAAGTATACTGCTGTTATGACAGATGTATGTTTTTTATTTTATACAATGTTGTTTACTTATCTGATACAATTGGTCTTGCAATGAGTTCCTTCATAATTTCATTGCTTCCACCATAGATAGGCTGTACTCTGGCATCAAGGTATGCTTTACAGATAGGGTACTCCATCATGTATCCCCAACCTCCATGCATTTGTACACACTGATACGCCACTTTGTTCTGAAGATCACTTGTCCTATAACGTCAATACAAAGAAAATACAGTTTACATACATAAATACAGACAGACTGTGAAGCTATCCCACTGATTATAACCATAATAAAAGGTTTAGCCAACTACTTTTCCAAAATCTTTACACGTTAAACAATATAATCTACCTACTTAATTTTTGCAGTTGTAATTTCTACTGAATATTTTAGACAGGTTAACCAGGTTGTACTAATATTTCTGTGTGATTAAGGAAAATAGTTGTCTAAAAAACATCCTACCCTTGACCAGGAGTCGAAACAGCTTTGAAAAATTGGTTAACCACATGAAAACGATGTTGCCAAATAAAGTTTTTTGTGTTGAATGAAAGATTCCTTTCACGAAATAATTCATGTTAAATCTTGATTTTCTATCAACTATTTAAAAAATGTTGGAAATTGCATTTGTACTTCAGTGAAAAAGCTCTGTATTATGATAATGCTGTAAAATTGTGATCCCTGTATCTGTGTAAAAAACCATTTTTCATATTTGGTTGCCCCACGACAAATGTGGTCGTTAAGGTCAATTTTGACCTCACAACGTGATGACCCACCCATTTTTGCTACAGTATACTTCACATCTACTTCCTTCTTACAAATTTGCAAATGACTATGTAAATAGCTTGATAGTACATACAACATGTTTTGACATTACAGACAAAGGTCTGATGGGACTAAGCAGTACTTACCAATATTTAGCCATAGAGGCAGTGAAGGAGTCAAGTCTTTTTTCATTGAAACTTTGAAGACAACTATCAGTAAAAGCTCTGCCAACACAGATTTCAGTCTTTAATTCAGCCAACTTGTGCTGAATTGTCTGAGAAATAAACATATTAATATTAACACATCATTACATGTCAGTTTTGAACTCAGCCAACTTGTGCTGAATTGTCTGAGAAATAACCTCACTGAAATGGCATATAATTGAGAAAATGTCAAGGAAGTAAAAAGAAAGCTAAGTCAGTTGCCCTTGACAATAGATAGCCCTGAAACCACAAATATCTGACTGCTAGCTGACAAGCATCACCATCCACCACATTGATCTGATTTCACACACAGAACCCTAAGTGGAACATGTGTTACATCAAATTGCACACTATTGAAAAACAGCTATCCTGGACAGCTATTAAATCAGTGAACTCCTTGAGTGATAGTGTTTCCCTTGTTTTTCTATTCTTATTATCCTAAAAACACTAAAATGTTGTTGAGTTTGTGAGTGTATCTTTTCACATACAGTGAAATAGATACAATCAAAGTTGTGCTGAACAGGAAGTCAATTTCCAGGTAATGTCATTATCAAACTTTGGATGTAACATCCATTTTTGAAAAAATCAGTTACTAGTAGCAAGGTTATTGGTTAGAGACGCCTTAGGAACCAAAATTCATCCCTCCGGTGACAAATACTTAGTGATAATAGAATAAAGAAATGCATTTCAAAAAGATTTTGAGTATATAGGCGTAAACATAGACCTTAGAAGGTCTATGGCGAAAATAATGGCTGATTATTTGTTAAATATTTGTTTCTTGACACCTGATGGTATAAATAGCTCTAATGTTTTAGCAGAGAACAGTCTTGTAATAATAATAAGTGCAAGCATAGTTACCGTAATTGTTAGTAAACGGTTCGTGCAGTGGACAAGTGTAGTATATAGTTATGTAATGCGAAGCTAAAAATAGAAAAATTGAAAATATCTTCAGGGAAGCTTCCATCAAGTTTAATTTACCCATCCTGTCTTGTATCTATCTAAATCTATTGAGTTTGACCTGAGTTTTAAAGAGGGAGATGATCATAGGAATCCTTTATATAATTTTCCTTTTCTTTGTTTTGGGGCATTCACCTTTAGTGTTCTAGTGATTTCATATATCCCACATGGTTTCAACAAAAGTTTTTGTTTCATTTTTTTTGAGTAATTTCCATGAAACTTCTAATACAACTTAAGTGTTACTTGATGTTTTTACCCCATAAACATGATCATGTCTATAAACAGCATTGTAGACAAACAAAATGTTTGATCAAAAATTACAAAAATATTAGAAAATAGAAAAGTTGATACAGGATGTGGGACAGCCTATACCAACAGCTCTGCCTGTCATTTTGTATGACAGTGGAGCTAAAAAGAATACAATAACAAAATTATTGGTTAATTAAATATATTTTGATTAATAAAATAATAAAGTGTGATAAAGGACAGTTTATATGAGAACTGTGTCAGAATTTGGTATACTGCAGGGATCTACTGTACTACTTTGACTCAGCACTTATGCTTGACTAAGCGCTCAACCACAACTTTTGGAACATTTTTTTGTTGGGGGGGGGGGGGTTCCACATTCGGCAGCACCCATTCCATTCCAAATTCATCAAATTTAACTGTCTAGTCTTCAAATCAGGTCTGATACAGCATGGATTTGGTTGGACCACCGTGAATATGTTGTGGATGCGTAAACAACAATAACAGTACGCAAACTACGCTTCGAGAATGACCAAAAACAAGACATGACATGTCATGTCATGTCATAGCCCCCGCTCAGAAAAAAATTTAAAAACTTATATTGAACTTAGTTTGTGTCAGAGTGAATTAATTCATTATGAGCTGTATTAAAATTCTGTTATTAAATGTTCAGAATTGATGTGTTACAATTTTAGGGGGTGGGGTAAAAATTTATTCATTTGGCTTTTCTGAGACAATTTATAACTTGTTAAACATATAATGCGATGTGCAATTATTACCTGTCCCTGTACCAACTTTGAACAAAACTGGATGACA